ATGTCCTGTAGCTTTAAGGTGCTGGAAGAGGGAGGAAGTTTTTTCTTCTTTTCTGACTGCGTTCTTGTGTTCTGCGATGCGGGCATTTATTCTCCTATTAGTTTGTCCAATGTATGTGGCTGGGCAGATTTTGCATGGTATTTCATAGACTCCTTGGTTTTCTAGCTGGATCCTGTCTTTGGGGTTTCTTAAGATGTTGACTATTTTTTGGTCGGTGCCGAAGGCTGTCTTGATATTGTGTTTGTGGAGAATTTTGCTGATTTTATCTGTGGTGCCTTTGATGTAGGGGAGGAGGGCGATGTCGTTGTACTGTTCTATGTCTTAGTTCTTGGGGGGTGTTTCCCTTTGGATTAGGTTGGTAATTGTATTTCTTTGGAATCCGTTGGAGATTAATACGTTTGTAAGAGTGTGTAATTTCAGATGAAATGCAACCACCATCCAGAAGCCAAACCACGACGACATCACCAGCTGCTGCACCTCCCTCTGACCCCACACAAAGCAAACAGACACACGCCATGAACACAGAGCTAGACCGCAAACTCGGAGCCAAACCAAAGCCCGGTATGCTACATCACAGCCTTCTGCTCTGGACATCACATCACAGAACTCAGGAGGTTACAACGCTAAAGCTCAGGATGCTACAACACAGCCAACCACCCAGGATGTTGCAACACAAAACTCAGGATATCACTACACTAGATCTCAGGATGTAATCACACAACCCATTACCCAGGTCGTTATAACACAAAAGACTAATGGTCAACAGCCAGCACCTCAACTACTCAGGATGTTACGAAACAGCCAAACATTCCACAAACAATGGCTCCCACACAGCCAACCAATCCACCTACAGTAACTAAGCCAGCACTCCACCCACCCCCACCAGTATTTATAGAGAGACGGCAGCTCCGATCACACTTTGCTCGCACAGAAGCCGAAGACTCCAGCCTGAAGATGATGAGTGGGACCTCGTCGAAACGTCGCCAAGATACTCTCAATCTTACATGGGAAAAGACCTGAATACACCAAGACCTGCACATATATGTGTATGTGTGTGTGTGTGTGTGTGTTCCTCTACATGATCTTGTATAGCAGGACTTTTAGCTGAAGAACTGATTTGCCAGTCAAATATTTCATACGCAAGGCACTGCTCACAAAATTAGGTTAATTTTCAAAAATCTATTTATAACCCCCTGGATCCTGAAACCTCCCCTTTCTGTGTCAACTAAATAATGCAGTTTTAACTTTTTTTAATTACTGCAGAGGTGAGAATAAAAAAAAATCAAGATGGCAGTTGTACCTTCAGCATATTCACATGGACATAACCATTATCTTGCCTTTTTTGAATGCCCCTGGGTTTTTATACAAAATGCCTAATCACTTTAACAGTGGGAAAAAATGTTAGACTGAAGCAGCCTAAAAGGAAGGGACTCAATCTCATGGTAGTCAAGGTCCCAAGGTATTCTGGCCATTAAACAAATGATACAATTGTCCCAAACAGCAATTGGCTAACTTCCAGCCAAAACTAAGGGTAGTTTGGGATTTGCTGCTTGGTTCTGACATGCATTGTCAATGATTTACAACAGTCCTCCCAAAGCAAAAATAATAAAAAATTAATATTAATCTATAAACTATCAAGAAAAATAATCTAGGAGTGTGTGAGTTCACAAGTATATAATAATAATATAATAATAATATAATAATAATAATAATAATAATAATAATAATAATAATAATAATAATAATAATAATAATAATAATAATAATAATAATAATAATAATAATAATAATAATAATAATTAAAAAAAAAAAAAAGTTGGAAGGGACCTTGGAGGTCATCTAGCCCAACCTCCTGCTCAGGCAGGAAACCCTATACCATTTCGGACAAATGGCTGTCCAGTTTCTTCTTAAAAACTTCCAGTGTTGGCACATTCACCGCTTCTGGAGGCAGGTTGTTCCACTGGTTAATTGTTCTAACTGTCAGGAAGTTTCTCCTTAATTTTAGGTTGCTTCTCTCCTTGATTAGTTTCCATCCATTGCTTCTTGTCCTGCCTTCAGGTGCTTTGGAGAATAGCTTGACTCCCTCTTCTTTGTGGCAGCCTCTGAGATATTGGAAAACTGCTATCATGTCACCCCTCGTCCTTCTCTCCATTAAACTAGACATACCCAATTCCAGCAACCGTTCCTTATATGTTTTAGCCTCCAGTCCCCTAATCATCTTTGTTGCTCTTCTCTGTACTCTTTCTAGAGTCTCAACATATTTTTTACATCGTGGCAACCAAAACTGGATGCAGTATTCCAAGTGTGGCCTTACTAAGGCATTGTAAAGTGGTATTAATACTTCACGTGATCTTGATTCTATTCCTCTGTTAATGCAGCCTAGCACTGTGTTGGCTTTTTTGGCAGCTGCAGCACACTGCTGGCTCATATTTAAATGATTGTCCACTAGGACTCCGAGATCCCTCTCACAGTTACTACTATTGAGCAAGGTACCCCCTATACTATACCTGTACATTTGGTTTTTCTTGCCTAAATGTAGAGCCTTACTTTTTTCATCATTGAATTTCATTTTGTTAGATAGCACCCAGTGTTCAAGTCTGTCCAGATCCTCCTGTATCCTAAGCCTGCCTTCTGGGGTGTTGGCTCTCATTTGCCTTGGCAGTTTTAATAACCATCTAGAATCAAAACAGTGAGCCAGTTTGCTATAATGGTTTATGTATCGGGCTAGAAACCAAAGACCATAAGATTTTAGTCCAGCCTTGGGCACAAAGCCAGCTGGGTGACCTTGGGCCAGGTCACTTTCTCTCAGCCCTAGGAGGAAGTCAATGGCTATCGCACAGCAGTTCTGAAAAAGCGTTACCAAGGGATTTGTCCAGACTGCCTCCAAGAACTGGACACAATTGAGCAGAAGAAAATAAAGAAGTCAAAACAGATTATTCTGGCCTAGTCTACATATGTCTCATCAATTTAGAAAGAAAAAGCTGGCTGTGGCCATGATACTAAAATATTGGATAGGTATTTCTCAATATCCATGAAATCTGTATAACACAATATTTCTTCCCATGCCTGCTTTTCAAGAGTTATTGTGAGCAATTTTATTTTAGTTGATATTATAGAAATACTCTATTTTTAATATTTTGTTCAGTACATTATTTATGGTTATGATTATGGCACAAATCACCATCTTGTAATAGGTTTCTTTCTCAGACACCAAATTCTTTTCTGAATTACCAACCATCTCAAGCCTCCTGCTTTGTTCAAATGTTGCAAATTTATACTGCAGGGTCTACATCATGTGTATAAGTAGCTACAACTGTTTTAGGCTTTCCTGGAACCATCTTTCTACTCTAGGTTGCAGATAAATTAGCTATTTCCCTCCTTCTCCATTTCTACCAGCCTTTTCTTTGTTTTGTTCTAATGTTGTTTTGCCTTAAGCTTAAGTCCTTAACTCTGACATAGGTACTGGACTTGACAAGCAATTAGAACAAGCAATTTCCACCCGTCAAACCTTGCCAGATTTGTCATCTGCCATCTGTGCTATCATCTGGTTCTCCTTGAGGCCCTGCTGTGTATCCGGATCCACTTGCACAGGAGCAAAGGAAGGGTAAACCCCACCATGCTGTTGGTTAAAAATGACACATTGAAGAATGCTGATG